ATTATATAAGGAAGGGCCGTGCCGCGTGGAAAAGCAACAGGTGGCCTCAATAAAATAAGGAAACACAAAAAGAAATGAAGAACAAGAACAGAAACTGGGAGAAGCACAGGAAGGCTGACAGACATGTGAAGTGGATGAGGATTTTCCTAGGGTCCCCAAAACCTACTCTTCTGGCAGTTTTAAAACCCAGAAGCCTTCCAAGCCCTTTCACCATTCATCACATTACTTCACATCAAGAGAAGACAAGTCTCCCAAGGAGGTTAAGAGGGGCAAGAGAAGAAAAAGGAGAGGTGCTTGGAAGATGATGACAATGATAACTTATTTCTTATTAAGCAGAGGGAAACAAAGGTCTTAAGCTGTCAGGCAGCCTCTGATGTGGCTTTCCTTTGTTCTTTTGGCCTTTGTGTCTATAACCTTCTGGCATTGTGATTATTATCTGTGACTAAATAAAGTGAGTTTTGTTTTTGTTTTTGTTTTTTAATTTCAGCCATTCCTAGATTTACTGAACATCCGTGGAAATCTCAACTCTCTAAGTCCAACAGGTTACTAGGTAAGAAAGTAGAAAGATAAACCTGGACTTCTCCTGTTCCAGGATGTCATCTTTACTCAGAATCCTAGGGCTAGGAAGAAGAATTCATCTTTTCAAGAAAGCTTTTAAAAAATACTTTGGGGGAAAAAAAAAAAAACTTATCAAAGATAATTCATCCTCAGCCTGAGTATGAAATTAAATCCTTGTAGGAAGAGAAATTAACACTAAGAAAAAGTCATCAGTATTTTTCAACTTTCTTTTTTACACTGGAAAGGACAATAACAATAAATGTATATCCAGCTTTTCTTGCTGCTGAAGCTGTTTTCAGAATCTTCCTTTGGACAAAACATCACAAGCTGACTATAAAAACAAAAATGTCATCATTGAAGCCCTGAAGAGGCAGGGAATTGGGCCTCAGCAAAATAGAGGTGAACAGTCCATCCAGTATAAATGTCAGAAAGCAGATTTCCTAAAACAAGTGAAAGAGACATAAAAAATTTTCACATAATCACAATGAAATAATTTTTTACCACTCCTACAGCGATGTTTCAAGTGGACAGTCACTCAGATCTATAGAGATGAATATTACTAAAAAAATTGTTTTGTTCTCTTATATTTTTTTAAACTACCTCAAAGTTATACAGAATTTTCTGGTACTTGTAGATCTTTTGTACTTCTCATACCCTAATGTCAGAATAAGAAAAATAAAATATCTGAAATAGAAATAAAAGTATAAGCATACTGATAGAAGAATTGACAGAATAAATAAATAGAAAATTCACAGAAGAAAAATACAAATAAATAACAAACATATGAATAACTTTAATCTCTGGCAATTAATCAAAACCATATAACTGGGCAGAAAACATTTTTTGTATCAAATTAGCAAAAACTACAAAAATTATAATATTCAGTGTTACCAAAGACGTAGAGAAATTAGTACTCATAACACATTTCAGATGGGAAAACTCTTTAGTAGGAGTCTTGAAAATAAATATCAAAAGCTTAAACTTTTTTAGCATCTTTCATTCCAACGTTTCATGTTTATGAAATTGTTTCAAGAAAATTAAAATATGCCATTAAAAGTAATGGTGCGAATCTGGTATTTTTTAATATGAAAAGATGTCCAAAATAGATTACTAAGAGCAAAAAGGGTACAAACATAGTGTACTGTGGTCCTGTTTTGTTCCAATATGCTGTCTGAAAGAAAGATCAAAATGAATACATTGAAACCCTAGAAATGATTATCTTTTGGTGGAAAAATTGGGGGTGACTTTATTTCAAATTTATACTTTACATATGCCAAACTTTCTGTAGTGGATACATTTCATAATTACAAAACATTTCAATTAAAAATTCAATATAGTACTATGTAGGATATTTCTATTAGAAAAATTTACTAAGATAGTTTGAGATTCAAAATAATGGTTGATGAAATGTAATATTATAATTGAAATTCATTCATGATAAAAAAAATGGATCCATGCAAAGATCATCAAAGAATATGAAAGCCATGAGGTGAAAAATTGATGGGGAACTTTATAATGGTTGTATCAGTGTGGCAACACTTGGGCCCCTGGATTAAGTTTTAGCACCACTAAAGGTGGGACAATCAGACATTATGTGTCTTGTATTGTGATACAATAGGATGTACCTGGCACTACCCATATATATTCTTGAAGAAAGAAAGACAGGAAGGAAGGAGGGAAGGAAAGAAACAGGGAAGGAAGGAAAAGAAGGAAAGGAAAGGAAAGGAAAGGAAGGAAGGAAGGAAGGAAGGAAGGAAGGAAGGAAGGAAGGAAGGAAGGAAGGAAGGAAGGGAGGGAGGACGGAAGGAAGGAAGGAAGGAAGGAGGGAAACCTAAATCTAATCAAGTTTATATACCTAACAGTTAACAAATAATATAGGGGGATAGAAAAATAAGCTGAACAATGTCACCAGGGAGCTAATAGACAAATCAGAATGTGAGAAAATCAGTAAGATTAGGCCGGGCATGGTGGCTCACGCCTCTAATCCCAACACTTGACCTCGTTAAGAGATAACAAGGTCAAGAGATGGTTGCTACCATCTCTTAATGGTGAAACCCTGTCTCTACTACAAATACAAAAATTAGCTGTGTGTGATGGTGCATGCCGGTGGTCTCAGCTACTCAGGAGGCTGAGGCAGGAAAACTGCTTGAACCTGGGAGATAGAGGTTGCTGTGAGCCGAGATCACACCACCGCACTCCAGCCTGGGTGACACAGCGAGACTCTGTCTCAAAAAAAAAAAAAAAAAAAAAAAAAAAGACCTAGTCCTTTTAAAAACTAAATGGTGCAAAAAAATGGAAGGAGGGATGTATTATAGATTAAAAGAAATTTAAGAAATATAACAAGCAAGTATGATGTTTGGTCCTATTTTGGATCCTGATTTGAACAAACTATAAAAATTCATATTTTAGGTCAGTCAGAGGAACTTGATTCTGGGTCATATTACATGATACTAAAAATTTTTTTGTTTATTCTGTTAGTTGTAGTAATGGTATGTTACAGTTAAAGTATCCTTCTCTCTCTACTAAGATATTTGTGATTGAAATTATACAGTGTCTGGAATTTGATTTTGATACTCCAAAATTTAAAAGGGAAAAAAGATGTCTGTACTTGGTGGGGTAAGGTATATCAATGAAATAAAATTGGCAAAATTGTAATGACTCTTGAAGCTTAGTAATGGGTACATTAGGGTTCACTAAACTATCTTCTCCACTTTTGTGTATATTTGAAAATTTCCCTAATTAAAATGTAAAAGTAAACTTAAAATTATTAGCACAGATTTTCAGTTGAAGAAAATAAATGTACCTGCTCATAGTTTTGGTACAAGTGGGCATTGTTCAAGTTTGCTGATATGAACATTTATTATTTTTTAGAAATTGAGATCTTGTATCTCTGACTGGGAGAGTTATCTGGAGATACTTAGCTTGACTTGTAGACAGACATAGATTTTTGAGATGATAAAAAACTTCATAGAATAAAAACAGATTGTGAAAAGATGTTGTGGGAAGAGGTATATCTGAAAATCCAAAGAAGAATATATAACAGCCTCTTAAGACAACACACATTCTCAGTGAGGTATTTCGTAGGAATAACAGAGACATTCAGATTCCCTAAGAAGAAATAAGTGTTGCCCAAGGTTCTACATGTCCCAAGAACACCTTGCTGGGAAAGAATGAATCAGGAGGTTTTTTGTTTTGTTTTGTTTTGTTTTGTTTGAGATGGAGTCTCGCTCTGTCGCCCAGGCTGGAGTGCAGTGGCCAGATCTCAGCTCACTGCAAGCTCTGCCTCCCGGGTTCACGCCATTCTTCTGCCTCAGTCTCCCGAGTAGCTGGGACCACAGGCGCCCGCCACCACCCCTGGCTAATTGTTTGTATTTTTAGTAGAGACGGGGTTTCAGCGTGTTAGCCAGGATGATCTCAGTCTCCTGACCTCGTGATCCGCCCGCCCTGGCCTCCCAAAGTGCTGGGATTACAGGCGTGAGCCACCTCACCCGGCGGAATCAGGAGCATTTTTAAGACTGCAGTCCTCTTCCAGGATACTGCATGTCTAAATCCAACAAGAAGATGTTCTTCGAGATCTCTGAATTGGGAGGCTGTAAGCTAACCTCGTGTCTTCTATTACACAACTAGCTCAGTACACTTGCTCTGCACTTTCGCTGCCCACTAGAATGTAAGTGTCATGAGGATAGGGCCCAGGCTTGCCAGGGTCACCCTCAGGACACCACCCCCTGCTACAATGCCTGGCACATAGTGAGTGCTCAATGAATACTATTTGACTAATGGATGTAGTACCTTTTTGTTACAAAATGATTTCCCAATCCCCTCTACCCTAGTCTTAGTATAAAGATTTGTTTTTTATTGAGAAATGGCAAATAAGGCTTTGGACCCCCTGAAGATTAAATACTAAAATCCCCAAAACAATTTTTTTGTTGGTGTTCTTACGGGACTGCGTGAATTCGAAGGACGTTTATAATGCCTCATAATGCTTTAGGAAGTGAGCCAAGAACTCCACCATCACTAGGAGTTTCAAAACCTTGAGAACTCTTCTCCCGGTGTGTTTAAGAGTATGCAGGCTCATTCTGCGCAAGGAATGTACTGGCTTATGTTGACATCTTTGTCTTTCCCTACCTCCCCACTAAGTACTACGGCAGTTTCTTTTCAGGGTCATACACGATTCCTGCAGCCTTTTTGGTGTGTGGAAGATAGCCCTACATGCTTCCCCCAGCTCACATGGCTCTAATAAGAGACAATCCCCGCAACACAGTACAGTTTCCCAGCAGGATAAAAGCTAGTTTCTAAAAGGTAATATTTCTCTCTTGAGAAAGTATAGTTTGTAACTCTGGCACTATCAAATTTCCAGGTCATCTTTTCTTGCTGGGAAAAAGAATCCTTATGAAGAGAAGTTGCTCCCTGGAGGGAGAAGAAGGCAACAATTGCCCCCTGAACCGACCCAGTGTCCTGGAAGGATGGTTACAATGGACCCCAGGGAGGCCGCCAAGCTGTTGGGCAAAGGAGGCACGGGTGACCACAGAAGGGGAGATCCCTTAAATGGAATGACTCGTGTGGCCCTTCAGTAAAGTTCTCACAAACCGACCAGTGCGGTCACCAACCATGCTCTGATCATTTTCAAGTTGTTGAAGTTACTCAGCGGATTAATAGGATATTGCACTGGCTTCCTCAAATGCACATACACAGAATCACTTAATGCCATTTTCAAGGACAAAAAAAAAAAAAAAACAAACAAACAGAGAGAGAGAGAGAGACCGATCCAAACGCCCTGCAAGTGAATAGAGAATAAAACAGCATAAAACAGACCCGTTCTCCTTGCCACCAAGCAGCGCTGCCCCACCAACCAAACAGCCAGCTCATGTCTCCTGTCTGTCCAACAGGGAGAACATGTGATCTCTCATGGCATCTGCCTTGTGCACTTTCAACTCTCTGCTGTCCCATTTCTTCTTCGTTGGGTCACCTCAGAAATAGAGAAAGGGGCTGTGCTAAGGAAAGGTCTAACTGAAAGTGCACACCCAATTTCCAGCCTCATTCTAGGCCAGAGAACACAACAAGGCAACTTCTTCGTGACCTCTGGAGTTTACCTTAATTTTTCAAAAGTCTAACTAGATCTAGTAAAGGGAGGGAAAAAAAGCACTTGAAGTAGAATTGCCTCCTGGATGCCTGATTCAGGTAGAGGTTTATAACACAATTATTTGGTCATATTTACCTAATGTCTTACCTGCTCTATTATCTGTTTTTTCAGATGTGTGCTGTTTTTGATTTTTAATTGCTCTTATTTACCAAATGTCTTATTCATTATATTATCTGGTTTTTCAGATGTGTCCTCTTTTTTATTTCACTGTAAAGAGAGTCTGGCCTAGCACAACTGGTGACTCGCTTAAGAACCCAAGAACTGTCAAGCACCCTGTCCAGGTTGAGCCTAGAGATTCCATAGCTGTGACTGGTGTTTCTTTATATCTTCATCCTTTATATCTTATAGAAAGCAAGCATTGCTTTTTATAAGAACTAAATAGCTTGTCTTCAAAGGGAAAGTTTAAATACTGACAATTTATTTGATAAGAATCAAATATTTTTATGTATCAAATGCCTTCAAATGTTCAAAAAGATTGTTCCTAAGGTATCCCCATCATTTTCTAAAAACAAACACACAAACCTTCAGAATCTTTTGTAATTTAAAGAAGTTACATTAGTGCTTACATTTCCAAAAATACCCATGTGGATAAATATAGTCTAATATGTCCATGGGAAAAGTTAGCAAGGGAAAAATATTTCCAAAAAATACAAAGTCAATGATAGACTGAATGAATGAATGAATATAATATACTTGATAGTGTTTTGGATGTTCTATTTTATGTTTTGCCATTGTTTTTTTTTTTTTCACTCAAATACTGGACAGAAAAAATATTCTGGTATTTCTATTCTCTTCTAAGAAAGTCTAGGTTGCTTTACTTGTGGCCAAGCACAAAGTTAGCTAGAATGCTTTAATAATATAGCTCACTGTATAGATTCAGATAAGCTATGGGAAAAATCATGTTTAACAAAAGATCATAATGACATAGAGAAAACACCTATAGCAGAGCACTTGCAGTGATAGCTTTTCTTCTCCTGTTTTTTTAAAAAAAGTTTTATTGTGGCTGGGCATGGTGGCACATGTCTTATAATGCCAGCACTTTGGGAGTCTGAGGTGGGAGGATCACTTGAGCTTAGGAGTTCGAGACTAGCCTGGGCAACACAGTGAGACCCATCTCTACAAAATATTTTTTAAAATTAGCCGGGCATGGTGACATGTGCCTGTGGTCCCAGCTACTCAGGAGACTGAAGCAGAAGGATCTCTTGAGCCAGGGAGGCTGAAATTTCAATAAGCCATGATTGAACCACTACACTCTAGTCGCAACAGAGCAACGGAGCAAGACTCCATCTCAAAAAATAAACATGAAAAAGTATTATCATCTTTTTATTTGACAAATTAATGATTGTATCTATTGATGGACTAAATGTGATGTTTTGATACATGAATTCATTGTAGGAGGATGTATATTGAAATCAGGCTAATTAACACATCTATCACCTCAAATATTTATCATTTCTTTGTGGTAAGGACATTTAAAATTTTCTTTTAGCTATTTTGAAATACACAATACATTATTATTAACTATACTCTTTACGCTCTTCAGTAGAACACAATAATTTAGTCCTCCTATCTAACTGAAACTTTGTACTATTTTCCTCTTTTTACAACTACATTAACCCATCATGAGGACGTTACCCTCAGGACCTCATCTTACTCTGATTACCTCCCAAAGGCTTGACTTCCAAATACCATCACCCTGGGGGCTAGGGTTTCAACATATGAATTGGAGGGGACTGGACATAAATATCCAGCTCAAAACATATACAATCAGCTTATAGGTCCTTACAGTATAGGTTCATTAGGCTATTTTATGAACTCTCAACTATAAGTTCCGTGTGTGCATATATGTGTGTGTGTACCCAAAATACCAAAGGGTTCTTTTAAATTTCTCTGTCTCAAAACTATTTAAGAACTGATTGTCCTTGCAGCCACAACTATTAAGAAATAGTTTCATACATTCAATTTAATAAGGTGATGGTCTATGTGGTTACATTACATTTTACAGATGGATCAGAAACTATTCTAAGGGTTTAAAATTTTTTCTTATAACTTTGAGGTTTAACGTCACCCAGGAGGACCCACAGAAACCAGACGTGCACACACTCTCACATGTTCATATTTAACTCACTTCAACAAATATTCACTGAGGCTAGGGGTCCTGGGGTTCAAAGATGAGTAAGACACAGTTCTTCAAAAAGCTTATAATCTGGGCAGAAATCAGTAAACAGATAGCCAACTGTTTTTTAATATAATAAGTATACAACTATTAATATGAACGAAAGGATCTGTGGGTACATGAGAAAAACTGATCCCCCGGAAAATGTGTGACAAAATGGTGGGTTCGCTTTATCCTTTACTTCCCAATATTCAGTTTTACCATCGGGTAGGATTGTGAGGAATTGACCACTCCCCTGGGGAGGGAGTAAGTTCTGGGAGTAAGTTCCACAGGTAAGTCCCCATAAGTATAAGCCCTTCTGCGCAAATCAAGATCTTCTCAAATGATTAGTTTTAAAAAGTCCCCATAAGTATAAGCCCTTCTGCACAAACCAAGACCTTTTCAAATGATTAGTTAAAAAATGGACTTTGTCTACTATTTTCCATCGGCTAGAGGGACCGATTCAAATAACCTAATTCAATCCAGCCAGAGGGAAATCTGGTACTTATGTTTGAAAGATGCCCTATCTCTCCCACTCCAGTTTCTTTCTATCATGAGACTTCTTAGTCTCTTTTTCCAGTCCACTCTTCTTCCAGGCCTTTCAGTGTCTGAGGGATCCACGACTCAGTCTTTGGTCTTCTTTCCTTCTCTACCTACTCTCACCTCCTTGGTGATTCCTTCAGTTTTGAGACTTTAATATTATGTGCCTGCTTTCAAATCTGAAATAGATATCACCCGTCTATATTTATCTTCCAAATGCAGACTCCTAGAGCCCTCTGCTCACTTAACAGCTACCCCAGGATGTCTAATAGGCTTCTAAAATTTAACACGTCCAAAACTCAAGTCTGGATCTTCCTCCCAAACCTGTTCCTACCCACAGCCTTCCCCATCTCAGATAGTGGCTTAGGCAGAAATGCCTGGAGTGATTCTCGACTCTTCTGTCCTCTCCATCCATTCTGTCAGCAAATCCTGTTAGCACTATGTTCAAACTTTTCCAAAATCCTACCATGTCTATCACCTCCACAGCAACCACCCCAGCCCAGCCACTATCACCACTTCCCCGGGTTATTGAAAGAGCCTCCTGAGTGGTTTCTCAGATACCACTCTCACTCCGCTACAGTCCCTTTTCAACACAGCAGCCAGGGAGATCCTCTTACACTTTGAGTTGTATCATTTACTCTTGGGCTCAACATCCTGCTGATGAAAAGCCCTTGCCATGGGCTCATAAATTTGGGCCTCTATTGCTTCCCTAATTTAATCTCCCACTACTATTCCTTCGCTCATTCCACCCCAGCTACAATGGCCTCCCTGATGCTGTTCAGACGTGCTGGACGCTCCCGTCTGTGGTCTTTGTGCTGGTTGTTTCTCTGGCTGCAATACCCTTCCCAAAGCTATTCATGCATCTCACTCTGCCATATCCTTATGTCCACTCAAATGCCATGTTCTTGGTGAAGCCTTTCTTGACCACCTTCTATAAATTACAACCTAGCCCTTCTTATATTACCAATCCTCTGTACTCTGAACTGTTTTTCTTTTTTCATAGACTTTATCATCATTTAACATACTGTATTAGTCTGTTCTCGTGCTGCTAATAAAGACACACCTGAGACTGGGAAATTTATAAAGAAAAGAGGTTTAATGGACTTACAGTTCCACATGGCTGGGGAGCCCTCATCATCACGGTAGAAGGCAAAGGAGGAGCAAAGTCACATCTTGCATGGCGGCAGGCAAGAGAGTGTACGTGCAGGCGAACTCCCTTTATAAAACCATCAGCTCTCGTGAGACTTATTCACTATCATGAGAACGGCACAGGAAAGACTTGCCCCCATGATTCAGTTACCTCCCACCAGGTCTCTCTCACAACATGTGGGAATTATGGGAGAGATTTGGGTGGGGACACAGCCAAACCATGTCACATATTATGATTTTATATATGTGTCTATATATATGTATATACATTTTTACAAGATATCTTTCCCCATTTGAACATATGCTCCACAAGGACAAGAATCTTTATTTTTAGACATGCGGTCTTGCCAAGTTGCCCAGGTTGGCCTTAAATTCCTGTGCTCAAGCAATCCCCTTGCCTTAGCCTCCCAAGAAGCTGGGACTACAGGTATGTGCCACCACACCCAGCATCAAGGACAGGAATCTTTATCAGTTGTATTTTACTGCTATATCTCAAGGGCCTAGAAAAGTTCTTGGCATGCAGTAGGTGTTCAATAACTATTTGTGAAATAAACTTAAAAAATTGGGAAGTCAGTCTGAGGGCAAATCTA